CAGAGTACATTAGAGTATTCTTCTAGAATCAAAAAACACCATTTTTGTTGATCCAAAGGTATGGAGTATAGCACTTATTCAACCCAATGTGTTAGCAATAGCTTAACATTAATAAATAGACATGGAACAGCATGTCTGCGCCCCCTTCTGTAGAGTTTTCGTATAATAAGACGTACTGCTGTTATTATCATAAAGAACGGTCTTAGTTCCCCCAATTTGGGAATTAAATTCGTTGTAAAAACGTTTAACAGCTGTTGAACATCGTCCCTTTATTAACTTCTATAACAAAGCTTGATTTATTGTTGGTTAGTGGAGTTTGTCTGATTAGTTTTAGTTCTAGCTCTAATAGCTTTACATGACTTGGGAAAATTAGGACCCATTTAAAAAGGCCTACAACACCACACTTCAGTGAAATTAAGACTCTTTACAGGACTAATTTTGAAATGCTTTAGACAATATGCCAAAGATATCCATTTTAGTGAAGGCACTATTTCTGGGATGGCTTGCTGGGATCTTGTCATTATATATTCAGTTGGGACTGTTAAAAGTGTGGATCAAAACCAAAACTAACCTTTCCGTTCATCCCCTCCAGTGCATCCTTCGCATCATCTGGATTCTCAAAGGTCACGAAACCGAATCCTCTGGATCTGTTGGTTTCTCGGTTTCGGGCAACATGAACTGAAACAGACATGATAATGAGCTGTGGCTGTGCAGTATGACGATAGCTGTCATTCAGACACAAAAATTGCAAATATTAGCTGGTATTGTACCCAGTTGACCATCATTTATTTATTTACATCACACTTTGAAAGTTGAAGTAATATTCAGGGAGTTTGTAGCATTTGGTTTACGGAAATAAAATCTTTCAGTTCATATGCTCTATTGTTCACGTCAGTCAAACAAAACATTGTGCTGTAACGCATTCAGAATGTACTAGCACAGGATTACATGCCATTAATGGGGATGCAGACGACCAATATGAGAAAACTGAATAAATCTAAGGTTTAAATTTCATATTGCTTTTAATTTAGCAATATTTTATACTTTATGTTGGACCTGTAATCATTACACAGATTTTAAACTGTTAATATTTTATATTTCTACATTTTAAAGCAAACATTTGACCTTAAGATCTACATGGTACGAAATGTGATCACATTGAGCACATTTATTAGTAAAAATAAACTTAAAATCCTTAAATATGAACTTTATTGCATTGTTAAATCTACATAAACGGGATTCCTGTGATACACAATCGCCATCAGAACGAGGGAAGGCTTATCCCGCGCCATGTGACTTCTCGTAACCACGCCCAGCCCCTATAATGAGCTCATTATGCAAATCACACGAAGAGCGAGCCTGTGATTGGCCCGGAGTGGCGGAACTTACCGTTGGTGATCACACCATATTTGGAGAAGGCGTCCTCTAGCGACTGCTCGGTGGTGTCGAAGCTCAGCCCGCCGATGAACAGCTTCCCTTCGTCAGACATGATGGATCTGAACAGAAACGCACATTTAAAGCAAAAACACACACATTCGGTACACGAGCAGTTGAGTACATCAAACACGAGTGTGTTCTGAAGAAAAAGCACATCTGTTCATTCAGCCCACGAACAAAACGCAATTCGCGCATATTTCACAAAAACCGGTTTATAAGACGGATTAAACCTTAAATTAAACACATATGAAGCGTTTACGCGTTGAATAAGTCATTTCAACAGTAGCTTGCGGTATTCAGATGTGGGTCAGCGCGCGCGCGAATCCAAACTAGGTCAAACAATAGAGCCAAACAAACAGATGAACTGCTGAATAAAACACACAGCAATACACCCCTGAGAACAGCCAAAACTAGATTTACACGACACCACACACTTTCGCGTGATTATTACACTTATTTAAGGCATTAGTAGGCCGATAAAAGCGGATGATGGCGATGAGGAGGATGAAGAGCTCAATGAGCTGCCGCCATTTTAAGAGCAGCGTGCGCCATGAAGGCCGAAACACGCGGGAATTTAATCACCCCACGGCCCACGCGAGCTATATCTAAACATATTAAATCACAAATAGAGCGGAGAAAACGTGAATGTTGGTAAAAACCTGGTACCTGTGATGTCGCAGTTCTGGGAGAAACGATGAATGTGCGTCTCCAACGCGATCAGCACTCCAGAGACGCAGCGAGAAGCGCGCGCCTGCTTATAAACCACCGCGCACAGGGGGCGGAGCTGAAGAAGCGGTCATTTACATATGTTAAACCTCCGGAGATGATGATAGATAGATAGATAGATAGATAGATAGATAGATAGATAGATAGATAGATAGATAGATAGATAGATAGATAGATAGATAGATAGATAGATAGATAGATAGATAGATAGATAGATAGATAGATAGATAGATAGATAGATAGATAGATAGATAGATAGATAGATAGATAGATAGATACTGTTTCTCTGTATTAATTGAATGTGTATTTAGTTTTTAAGGCTGTAATCATGGATAAGTGACCAATAGTGTTGGCCAAGCTACTTGAAAAATTAGCTAAGCTATTAGCAACTCTACTTAAAATGTGGCTTAACCACACTAATAGCTACATTCTGGGAAATGTAGCAAGCTAAGCTAAAAGCTACCTGGCAAAAGCGTCACAACATATAAGCTATTTTTGCAATTTTCATTTTTAAATCGAAGTAACTTTAATCCAAGTCAATCATATATTTTTTAAACCATGTAATGCAGATAAATTATTTATGGTTTAAACAATGAAATGCAGATATAAAGTTGGAATATATATATATATATATATATATATATATATATATATATATATATATATATATATATATATATATATGTGAGAAATTCCGTGCAAATGTCAACCTTTCGTTTTTACCAGAATACGAAAACCATTTCTGGGTTTTTTGTGTAAGCAAGTATTTTACAGTACTTTAAAAATACTCAAAAATGCATCTGTCAATGTTTTCAAACTATTCTATTTGATTTACCAAAGTCACACAAATGGTAATTTCACATGCGTCACATCCATAACAGAGAGATGTCACATCCATAACCACACTTTTTCCTCAGAAATGTGAAAATATTAAATAAAATAAAACCAAGCAATTTTGTTTTATAGAGATCCGACTCTAATCCTTTTGATTAGCATTATTTATTTTGGGTTGTGCAGTTTAATTCACAGAATTTCTACAAAGTGTGTTGTATACTGTAAACTCGCAGACTTTTTTTGTCACATCCATAACGCATGCTTATTTTCCTCATTTAAAGTACAAAAACTTCTGCTCCCATAACTCTGTGGCTAGTTGCTCTAGAAAATATAATTACATTTTTCAATATAATGTTAACATATACTTTCTCTGTCAATTTATGTGTTGAGTTTTACTGCAAATGTCACATCCATAACGCTGGAATTGCTCATATATATATATATATATATATATATATATATATATATATATATATATATATATATATATATATATATATATATATATATATATATATATATATATATATATATAT